GTTAAATAAAAAAAATCAGTTTTAAAATATTTATATAAGTTTTAACAAATTTTTATTGTAGAATTGGTATTACCTGATGACTTGAAGGATTTAAGTGGTAAATATGATTATATTGTTTACATTTGATTTTAATATAGTATCAAATTTCAATCGATTTTAATCGATTTTATTATTTTACAATGCTTACAGATAATACTAGTTCGACTCCAGCGAAAAAAGTGCCAGCAAGAAGAACCCGAAGAACTATCAAAAATGTTCAGCAAGAGGAAAATTTAGCATCGACTCCAGCGAAAAAAGCGCTAGCAAGAAGAACCCGAAGAACCATCCAAAATGTTCAATGAGAGGAAGTTTCAGCATCGATTCCAGTGAAAAAGGCGCCAGCAAGAAGAACCCAAAGAACCATCCAAAATGTTTAGCAAGAGGAAGATTCAGCATCAACTCCAGTGAAAAGGGCATTAGAAAGTACAAGAACCCAAAAAACAAACCAAAGGCAAAATATCCAACAAGAGGAGAATATAGGAACGAATCGAAAAATAAGTCCAGCTTTTGCGCAAGAATTATTAAAAGGTTTTTCATCAAGTGACGATGATAATAATGATTTCGATGCTTTAGGTTTATCATCTCCTGCGAAAGAACAATGGAAGAAATCTGAGCCATATGATTTATTGGATAATGAACCTACTACAGTTCAAGATTGTAATATCATAAAATCATTACCAAACTCTTTTACATTGTTAACTAATAATAAAAATAATCATATACAGGCTACTATACCTAATATTTTACAAAAAATAGCGTCTCGAAAGACAAATGAAGAAATACAACATAAAGCTGAAGATATTGAAATCAATTTAAATTTACAACAAAAGCGACCAACACAATTTCAAAATATGTCTAATGATTTCAAAATTGCTCATTGGGTTGCTTGTTATAAAAAGGTCCTGGATTTAGCAATAAGCATTTGAAATGGAATGATGAGCAATGCCGATGAAATTGATGAGACAACTTTAACATCCTTATCAAGGCAACAAATTTCCATCGAAAATGTATTATCGCCACCAGAAATTGAACAGGTAATAATATATATTTGGAGATATATGAAAACTCATTTATTCATATTTTAAATTTAGCATATTAAAAGTCAACTTCAAGATGAGTGTAAGACTCTACTACTTTGAACGAGAAATAACACAATCGCATTTTATGAGGAACTGGTCATACAAGTATACAAAATCGCTAAAACTGATTATAGATTAAATTCATTAACTAAAGATGTTGCTGGCTGGTTCAACACATATCGCTATAAGTTTCACATTTCCATTGTGAAATTTGCAAACGAATTTAAAATAGCATATGAACAGTATGTATTAAAAATGTTATTTAATTACTTACTTTTACTCACTTTATTGAATTAACTGGAATTAATTAATATTACTTAGGACAAGAGAACCATATGACGAATTAAATGAATTTATTACTGAAGATGTATGGAGACAAGTATTGCAGATACACTTAAAGGCGACCGATCAACAAAATTAAGAAGAGATTCAATAATCATTACTAAACTTGGTATCTTTGTATGAACAGCTGTTAAAACAATACTAGTCAGTATGAAAACTAATGAAGATACATAAAAGGCTATTAAAAAATGCGACAAAGATACGATTGATCTGAAAATTCTAACTAAACTTGGGGTAGTAAGCTCATTACCAGTGTGAGAGTTATTGGACTATTAAATTAGAAGAGCAAGAACCAAAGTTCAGAATATAAAAATTCAAATTTTTTTTTGAATT